ACTCAGTGACACCCACAGAACACAACTATGTAGAGTTTACACAAATAATAGCTTCGTAGCTCTTATTGCGGGACTCTGCAAACCACTGTGAAATGAGCAGCATTAAGTTTACCAGTCAACAACGTTCATTACACATAGGTTGACTGGTGAGCTTAATGTTGCTCATTTCACAGTGGTTTCAGAGTCCCGCAATAACAGCTGCAAAGCTAATATTTCTGTAAACACGTCACAGTTCTGTTCTGTGAGTTGATTGGCGTTCAGCCAATCAAGTTGCAGCTGTCTGTTTTTTTCACAGCTGGTCTGATTGGCTGAGCGTGATATGCAACATCAGGGACTATCATTAACCACTGTAGCATGGTGGTGGAACATGGTGTTTCATAAAGCAAGTATGCATGTTTTCCCTGTTTTTTATTGCCTTCTCGCCATTAAATCGAGTTAAGGAGGAAATCGACGCCTTCGCAGCCTGAATTGAGAATGTTTTATGTACGAACTGGTCCACGGGGGATACGGGTGTATAGCCGACTGCATAGATTCCCTTTGGACAGTAAGATGAAACACTCAATATTGCCATCTGCCGGCCTTTGGGCTAGCATGGTACCTGTAGTTGAAATTGGCTGGTTATGCATTCAATTTGCTTTGTATAATGTATACTCATCAGTTATACAGCAGTATTTATATGTTTTTATTCTCAACCATTTTACCTTTTTAATGCTACAGCATGTTACTACTACTGGTGTAGAAAATCAGATTAAAGAAGAGGTGAAGATACCTAGGGCTTCTCCTGCAAACTAACAAGTATTCATAGGGAGTAGAGTGCAGCACATAATGCTATGGCAAAAAATTGCCAAAATGACCAGAAACAAATAACTTTCTTCTGAAACTCGTCAGTCTATTCTTGTTCTCAGAAATTAAGGCTATTCCGTGCGAGAAATTGTGAAGAGGCGACTCCGGGATGCTGACCTTCTAGGCAGAGTTGGAAAGAAAAAGACATATCTCAGACTGGCCAACAAAAATAAAAGATTAAGATGGGCAGTCTGAGATATGGCTTTTTCTTTGTAACTCTGCCTAGAAGGTCAGCATCCCGGAGTTGCCTCATCACTGTTGATGTTGAGACTAGTGTTTTGCGGGTACTATTTAATGAAGCTGCCAGTTGAGGACCTGTGAGGCGCCTGTTTCTCAAACTAGACACTCTAATGTATTTGTTCTCTTGCTCAGTTGTGCACTGGGGCCTCCCACTCCTCTTTCTATTCTGGTTAGAGCCTGTTTGCACTGTTCTGTGAAGGGAGTAGTACACAGCGTTGTACGAGATCTTCAGTTTCTTGGCAATTTCTCGCATGGAATAGCCTTAATTTCTCAGAACAAGAATAGACTGACGAGTTTCAGAAGAAAGTTATTTGTTTCTGGCCATTTTGATCCTGTAATCGAACCCACAATTGCTGATGCTCCAGAGACTCAACAAGTCTCAAGAAGGCCAGTTTTATTGCTTCTTTAATCAGCACAACAGTTTTCAGCTGTGCTAACATAATTGCAAAAGGGTTTTCTAATGATCAATTAGCCTTTTAAAATGTTAAACTTGGATTAGCAAACACAACGTGCCATTGGAACACAGGACTGATGGTTGCTGATAATGGGCCTCTGTACAGCCTATGTAGATATTCCATTAAAAATCAGCCGTTTCCAGCTACTATAGCCATTTACAACATTAACAATGTCTACACTGTATTTCTGATCAATTTGATGTTATTCTAATGGACAAAAAAAATGATATTTTTTTCGAAAACAAGGACATTTCTAAGTGACCCCAAACTTTTGAATGGTAGTGTACATGCAGCACTATCAGTCTGGAGGGCACTGATTTGTCCAATGCTCTTCAATGCTAATTAAATAATGGCAACTTATCAGAATAAATTGTCAGAAAGGTGACTTTACGGGAGAGAAAGTGAAGACAGAAGGTCCATACGAAGCATTCTTTGAAGTATGTGATTGGACAAATTGTTTCCATAGCAGCAGCAGCAGCATCGCAGACCGAGCCTCTCTCTCTCCTCTCCACCAAGGTCGGCCACAGCGGGATCTGTAAATGCCACTCATCCACAGACCCTGGAGGGGAGCGTTTCCATCTCAACAAAAATAGTGACACCCTGAACCTTCCTGTACTGTGAACAGTGCTGCCGGGGAGATGAGGGACTCAGGGCCACAGGGTTCATTCTAACCAACAGCTGCGTGTGCACGATCGATCCTCCTTAGTCAAAACCAGATATGATGAATCTCTCCCCTACAGTAACTCCATCTTGCTGAGAGGATAATGCAATTATCTGAATGTGTTGTAAAGTCTGAAGCTGAATTTATAATGCTGTTTACCAAGAAGTTATTAGGAATCTTTATAATAACTGCCCAAGGAAATGTTTAAATTATGCATCTCCCCATATGCTGACAGGCTACTCATTCATAAAATGTTGCTTCTGTCTGTGGGAACATAGAAAAAGAGCTGTTTATGAAAGTCATTTGTCAATACAATAATATTAAGCAATAGTATTATGCAATTATGCAATAGCGATGTATGGAAACAAAGATTATGGATATACTGACAAGATACATGTCTGTCCGCCCTAACAATGGGATTCGTTGCCCACAAAGCGGCATGGCGGCCTGTCTAGCTCCCGAATATACTTTCTTTGGATCGGTGGATAAATTATTGTCATCCTTTTTTGAATATTTGATGAGGATTGTTGACGTTAACCGCCTGCATTCAATGGAGAGAGATGCTATGCTACTAGCCTCATACTATGAATATGCATAGCCATCTCGAGACAACTCGCCCAGATGGCTCTTGTGATGTCACGTGTCCTACTTATATCGGTACTCGTAACAACTTAAGCATTACGAAACTTCTATTAGATCAAATAAATCTCATGTAGCAAATAAGCCATGTAGCAAAAAAAAATTGTTGACCAAATTTGACACTCTCATTGACCTCCATACAAAAACTCCTTGCTTGGTGTGCAAAACAACGAAAGAACGCCACCAGCTGGAGGGCCTCTCTCTTCCTCTTCCTCTCTGATGGAAATTAGATCACAATATAGCCCATGAATTATCATCTCTTTGTCTGATTCATGCATATATACAGTAGTGGTGTACTTAGACAATAAACATTATGTCAAAATCTGTTCAGCTTTGAGCACCATGCATCTTTTATTTTATTTCAAAACATCTCAGTTGTCCACAGTTGTAAATAGCAGACAGATCAAACATGCTGAGGATGAGAAATCATGACATAATCACAATTCATTGTTCTCCAGGGAATGCATCAACCAATAATGTTTATTGCAATGCACACTTTGGATAACATAGTATCTTTCAAATGTAGTAAGCTTGCCATGAAAATGCTTCCCTCTGCTGGCTATAATATCATTACATCAACAAGATGTGGACTTTCAAGGAGGGGATTCGATTAAGCTGGCCTGGGCGCCCGATATACGTAGTTTGCACCGGGTGAAAAGTGATTGCATTCGTTTTGGAACCTGGCTGCCTCCTGGGCTTGAGCTGGGTATCCTGTTCTGGCCGATGGCGAAGTCGGCTCAAATAAAAAACTGTCCTAATGATAGGATTCTGTGTTTTCACATGCAAAAGTAATTGATTTTGATGAAAACGATGTATCTGTCTTCCCAATGAAAACTAGTTTGAAAATTCGAACATATATTTTATGGAAAAGAGAGGTTTGTGAACGATGCGTCATGCTGCCTTGTTGACAACATGATCAAGCGGCGCAGATTACTTTTCGATTTGAGCAGGGCGCAGACCCGTCGCTAGACCTCAGTCTTAAGGGGGGCATATGAAATGCATGGGAGGGCAGGGCACAATTATTATCAGCCTACAGTACGTATATTTAATCATAAATTCCCTCAACTGGGGGGGGCACAAGCATTTATGGGGGCGGGTGTGGCAGGGCGCACCTCCCTCTTCGGCTTCGCCGGGTCACGTGACGGGCTATTGGCCGGTGCAACCCGGGCCAGTTTAATAGAGCCCCTCACTGTCAAACTGAAGTCCCGCCTATCCCAAATTGATTGGTTGCGGAAGCGATTATTGCAATCCCATTGGATGTCAACCTGCCAGTTTCCTGACGACAGCTGTATTTCAGGAAGAACATCAAGACTGGTGAGAAGCGTGTTGTCAGGTCAACGCTTTTGTCTTTCTTTTACCTATTTTTACCGTTCTCGAAGTCAAATTTGCATGGTCGAGTTTGTAAACCTAAATTTGTTGCAACTTTTTCAGGTCAGTGGTTTTTGTGTGCGACCTTTATAATTACCTATAGAGAAAAATAAGCAAAACGTCCATGCTGGTTTCTCAGTTGTCTAGCTACAGTTACACGTTTCGAATAGCTAGCTACAGATTCAGTAAAGAGCAATATATCTTCACGGTCACACAGTGTCAATCATGAGCTACAATGTATCACATTAAGCCTGTTGTAGGTCCCGCACTCTGATTCCTTTATCCAAACTCATGTAGCTAAGCTAGTAAATTGACACTATTGCCTTTGACATTTTCTTAGCCAGCCAGCAGATGACTGTTGTAATATGAATGACATTATGTGGCAGAATAATTCCAGTGTCCTTGGCAGGACACATCCATAAAAATGTAATGCCCAATATCAATTTCATAATACGATGTAATTTGGTAATTTATCCACTGGGTGGCATTCAAGATCATGCGTTTAATCCTCAGAGTAACATGTATTTTCTCTCTACCATGGATCTTTACTTGACAAAAGCAGTTGTGCGTTCATACAGCATCTTGGAGCTCTAATAAATGGAACCCTTGATATATATATATATACATTGCTGAGTAAACCCTCTATTCATGCGGATTAGAACCTGGAAGCATTAGCATGTTTATCATTATGAGAGATTAGCAGATAATCCCCAGACCTCTGATCTATCACTAATTGCTCTGACATTTACCCTCTGAGCGTAATTGCTTTTTACAGTACCACCCTTTATACTCCCACAGCAGCACGGTTTGAGGGATGGCGGCTCCCAGAAAGATAGCGTTGTTTCGCCTACCTCCCCTGCCCACAATTGGGGAGGTAATCAAGCTGTACAACCTGCGAGCAGAGAAACAGCTGTCCCAGAACTTTCTGCTGGACATGAGGCTCACAGGTGAGTCAGCCTCCTCCTTTAGCTGCAATGCACCAACACCTGGTACACTGTGAGGACACAATGGTGTTTTTTCTCCCCCCCCCCCCCCCCCCCCCCCCCCCCGTTCACAACATGTTCAGTGTACCAGACTGCAGTGCCCACATAGGCTTGTCCACAAGCGGCAGATACTACTGATGTGATTATATCAGTGATGCAGTGCTGCAGATCTGATCTGGTGCCCTTGAACAAGGTTTCTGTTTTAGATAAAAGAACTAAAGAAGCTTAGCCAACTTTGCCAAGGAGAGATAGGAGCCAGGCATATGCAAAAATACAGTGCCACTGCCAACATTTATTTTGCCTGTCATAATAAAATATGCATGTAAGATCAACTTGATACATTGTTCACCTTTAATATACCCAACCCATTCCAATGTGAATAAGTAATGCACCCTGGTCACTGTGTTTTCTGAACTGTGTGTGTAGATAAGATTGTACGCCAAGCAGGCAGTCTGAGGGACGCCCATGTGTGTGAGGTGGGTCCTGGACCTGGAGGGCTGACCCGCTCCATCCTCAATGCTGGGGCTGCAGACCTGCTGGTGGTGGAGAAGGACAACCGCTTCATACCCGGACTAAACGTACGCTACAGGAGACCATGCAGGAAGAGGTTGTCTTTAAAATAATTGCCCAAATTGTAAACAGTAAATACTCAAGTACCTGTAATATGCAAATTCCGTTTCCACAGCTCTTGTCTGAAGCGGCACCAGGGAAGCTCAGGGTTGTCCATGGTGACATACTCACGTACAGAATGGACAGAGGATTCCCAAAAGTCATAACCAAGGCATGGGAGGATGGTGAGTGAGATGAAGAAGTAGCTTAGTATTGAGGTAGATTTGCCACTTGCCTGATTGATGGAAGTGTCTACTAGATTGCTTTATGTCAGGCACACACAGTACAGTGATTTATGTTTTGTGCAATGTGTTGCAACCGTGTGATACTACTAAAACTGTCCCTCCAGATCCACCGGACCTGCATATCATTGGGAACCTTCCCTTCAGTGTGTCCACTCCTCTCATCATCAAGTGGCTGGAGAACATATCCAACAGAACTGGAGCCTTTGTTTACGGCCGGACCAGACTCACCCTTACCTTTCAGAAAGAGGTGGCAGAGGTATGTGTGCTGTTTGTTCAATACTGGCTATTCTCACTCAGTCGGTTTTCCTGAATCAGTAACTGCTTTTCCGGTCTGATTATTCAGCCCTTTATTCACCCTTTTTTTTAATCTAACTGCTCAGGGCCAAAAATTATACTGACACAACATGTTGGGTTTCCCCTTCCAGAGGTTGACAGCCAGCACAGCCAGCAGGCAGAGGAGTCGTCTGTCCATCATGGCCCAGTACCTCTGTACTGTCAAGAGCTGCTTCACCATCCCAGGACGAGCCTTCATCCCCAAACCTGAGGTAGGACCCCACGCTCTGCTCTGCTCTACACTACACACACACACACACACACACACAGCATCTTAGCTGTATATCGAAGTTGATGATGACAATGCTCCGTTTGTGGAGCACACACACTTGGAAATGGGCACACAATCAGCCACACATCACCCCACACCAGGGGGTAGGACCCCCTATTTACTCTCTGTTCTCCTCCTCTTCCATTGCCCCCATTTTTTTTGTCATTCAAGTCTTTCTGCTGCTGTCACTCGACTCTTTACCAGACACATACAGTTCAAGGGTTCATTATGGCTGCGTTAAATCAATGTTGTCTCAGAAGTGTCTTCAGAATTGAGACACGTTGTTGGGTTATGATGCCTGGTGGGTATTTGAGATGCAGTGCTATAATCACACATAGTAGTATTAAGAACTCTGCCCCTTTTTTACAGTCTTTGCTCTGAGTCACTGGTGGGTTCTGAGGGAATGCTTATTATATAAGATTATAGGCCTAGGCTACTGATTACAGAGAATTATGTTTCTCTGTTCTTGGGGATGGGCTTTAGGTTGCTGTCTGATGGACTAGGGTCCCCTGAAGAAGTAGTCCCTCTTTAGGAGCCCTCTGTTAGTAAATATTTCATCTGTATGGAATGGATGGAGTAAGGGAAGAGCAGTGAAGTGAATAAAACTAGGGCTGATTGTTCATTCTCTTAGAAGAAATAGCTCCAATGATTATTTCATCACATAGAGGCAGCTTTTACGCCCCCTCTCTGTGTGTTTGTGTGTGTGTGAATGTACACGTGACGTGTTTGTGTGCAGGCATCCGTGTAATTGTGTCTGAGTAGTGTGTGTTTATGCTGCAGTTGTTAATTTGTGCTCATGCATGTTTATCACACAAACAGTTGTTATAACGGTCAAGTTTTAAGTTTTATTAGTCGTATGTATGAGATACGCATGGTATACATCGTCCTATGAAATGCTTACTTGCAGGTTCCTTCTCGACAATGCAACAACAATAAGAAATAATAAAAGATAAGAATACTAACAAAGTAAATGGCTCAGTAGAATAGAAAAAATATTTTAACATAAGTATAATACAGGAAGGCACAATTTATAGTCCAATATTTACACGTGCATTGGGGATGGGGGAAGTGTATAAACTCAGCAGTATAATAAGAGTGGTAGCAGCAGTTGTGATGTGTGTGTAGCATGAGTGGATGTCTGTGTGGGTGTGTGCATGAGTGAGTGCATGTGTGCTAAGGTGCGGAGAATCAGAGCAGGTGGTCAGTCCAGTTCAGTCTTATGCTTGAAGATAGAAACTGTCTCTGAGCCTGTTGGTATCAGACCTCATGCTCTGATACTGTCTGCCTGACGGTAAGGGAGAGAACAGCTCGTGGCTGGGGTGTGTGGGGTCCTTGATGATGCTGTGTGCCTTCCACAGGCACTGTTTTGAGTAGATGTCCTGGATGGGTGGGAGCACGGTCCCAGTGATGTACTGGGCCGTCTTCACCACCCACTGGAGGGCCTTGTGGTCGTGGAGGGAGCAATTCCCATACCAGGCCGTGATGCAACCGTTCAGGATGCTCTCGATGGTGCAGCGGTAGGATTTGGAGAGGACCCAGGATGGCATGCAGAATTTCTTCAGCCTCCTTAGGAAGTAGAGACGCTGTTGCGTCCTCTTGACAAGATTGGTGGTGTTGTTGGACCATGTCAAGTCCTCTGTGATGTGGACGCAGAGGAACTTAAAACTCGTGACTCTTTCTACTGCAGTTCCATTGATGTGGATCGGGGCATGTTCCCTCCTCTGCTTCCTGAAGTCAACAATCAACTCCTTTGTTTTGCTGATGTTGAGGGGGAGGTTGTTGTCCTGGCAGCACAATGTCAGTTCACTTACCTTCTCCCTATAGGCTGACTTATCGTTGTTGGTTATCAGGCCTACAACCGTGGCGTCGTCAGCAAACGTGATGATGGAGTTGGTGTCTAGGGAGAGTGGGATTTCTAAGACAGATGATGGGTATTTCATGAGCTGGTCTCCTGCTGATTACATAAGACTGAACAGCACACTGTTGTTCATTCTGCTATTATACCCAATAATACTTTCACATGTTCATGTAAATAGTATAATAATTCATAACGCACTGACTCTTGCTTTGCATATTAATGGAAGGCAGGGGTATTACAGGAATTCCCATTTGGATGAACAGTGAAATAGACCATAAATCAATAATAATTAAACAAAATAATAATAATTAGGTGGGTGCTTATATTTGTCCTATTTTTATTTTTTTATTTTATATTTTAGTCATTTAGCAGACGCTCTTATCCAGAGCGACTTACAGTTAGTGAGTGCATACATTATTTTTCATACTGTCCCACCATGGGAATCAAACCCACAACCCTGGCGTTGCAAACGCCATGCTCTACCAACTGAGCTCCATCCCTGCCGGCCATTCCCTCCCCTACCCTGGACCAATTGTGCGCCGCCCCATGGGTCTCCCGGTCGCGGCTGCCTATGACAGAGCCTGGATTCGAACCAGGATCTCTAGTGGCAGAGCTAGCACTGCCTTAGACCACTGCGCCAAGTGTGTATTAATATGAATGTGTGAATTGGAAATGTGTTTTTTGCATATCCCACTCTCCCTGAGACACCCTCAGAGTGGGGTCACAGGCAGAATCTGCCATTATCAACTGAGTCCCTGAAGCAATTAGGATTAAAGTGATTTGCTCATGGGCACATTTGACATATTTTTCACCTTGTCTGCTCAGGGATTCGAACTAGCGATCTTTCGGTTACTGGCCCAACGCTCTAACCGCTAGGCTACCTACCGCCCTTACGATACTGTATATACTTATGTTTTGTGTAAATATAGGTTCATAAATTATACCAAAAGGTAGAGGGTGTTTCTAGATTAGTCTAATTTTAATGTCCCCTGAGGCCTGCTATGGCTGGATTTGTGCAAAATCTTTGTTCATTGCCACTTACCCAGAGAGTGCTTTTATCAATACTGTGAAGTGCACTCGTGGACAAAGATAGGACTTTGATATTAAGTGCTTCTGAGGCAGTGCAGTATGAGAGTACATCAATGGGTGTTATTCGGCCAAGACATCTACTACTGGCCATAACCATTGCTAAGAAGCAATGCATATGAAGTACAGTGGGTGATGGAGAGTGAAGCTGTATTCCTGAAGGTTGTGCCTCTGTGAGTCTTTCTGTTGTCCACATGGTCTGCTGAGGCCTGGTGGAGCAGCTTGAGTTCTTAGACCGAGGAGAACGTTCACATAGCCAAGCTAGACAAATCCAACAAATCCGCTCAATGTTCTAATTGTTGGTATTATCCTGCTCTCTCTGTAACTTTGGATTGCTAATTGTGTTTTTTATGCATAGGGATTTGCTCAAATTGAATTGTTGTCGTCACTTTTCTCAGTTTTTTAAAATTTATTTCTGGCATGTATCAGTCACATCTGATCTGTGGTAACCCGGTTCTGGTAAGTGTGTGTGTGTGTGTGTGTGTGTGTGTGTGTGATGTGTATCTTAAAATCTGTAGGAACAGGTTAATACAGATGAAAGAACATTGCTGCTGCATAGCTGTAATTATGTTGTTCAACAGTTCTGAGAAAATGTGTTACAAAGAACCTGACGGCCCCACGCTGTGTGCAACACACGGCTATGCTATCTCCCATTTTTACAGTACATCAAACCAGAAGCAGGGGCTATGTTACAGATATAGCAATTAGCAGTGTAACCTCCTCTCACCTTATTTGTGAAAAATGCATTTAATAGTTGAATGCTCTAACCAACAAACACCAGAGAACATAATTAATACATTGAACCTTTTAAAACCCAATGGTGAGAAAATGGCAGTTGTTAGAGGAAAAAAAACATTACTGGATTTAGTGGTTAATACATTTGAACCTGAGGGAAAGAGAGTCACATTGTAGCTGACTGGTGATTAGATGGGAGAAAAGGTTTAATCCATTTTACATTAGCAGCTGCTGGTCCATATTGACGTGTCGTAACTTGTGAGGAGATAGGCCTTATGTTGTTTAATCTGTTACCATGCATGTTCTCATCCCCTGGAATGAATGCACTGGCTACCTCTGTCACATTGACTGACTCTGATTGTCCTTGAAGGCTTCCATCCAGCGTGATTGGCTGACTCGTCATTTGCCCTCCAGTCCAGTGTGCCCTAGGTCTGCCTGTCACAGATCACATTCACACCCCTGTCACTCTCCTCCCTGATTAGCTGTGTGTGTTAATATACATATTCAAGAAGAAAATACAAAATGGCTGCTTGTGGTGATACAGGTCACTTGTAAATTGCAAATGTTATGTTCTTATTGGCTTAATAGAAAGGACAAAGTACATTTAATGGTTGTGTATCTCTGATTTAATAGAGATTGGAGATCATGTGACACTGTGTTCCTTTCTTCATCCCTTCAACATCATCGCCAACCCTGTGTTTCTCACTGCCTTTCCTAAAATGGAGGTTATTCGGACAAAGAGAGGAGAGCATGTCAGTGAGACTTGCCCATCCACTTCGCCCCTCCCTCCTCTCCTCTAGCCTGCACAGTTCTTTCCTGGCAGAATGTGATTGAAATCTGGCTGTCTGTCATTGACGGGTCTATAAGTCAGTCAATAGTTGCTCCATCACGTCCTAGAGTGCTGCTTCTCCACAGTAGACCCCCAGGCCTCCAAGCTCCACAGACAGAAAGAGAGCTTGAAAGAGAGAGAAAGCTTGAGGGAGAGCTTGAAAGAGAGAGGGAGAGAATGGGAGGTGGAGAGAGTTAGTGGGAGTGATTGAGAAGAGAGGTGGAGAGATTGGAAGACAGTGGGAGAGAGCAGTAGGAGATAAGAGTGGGAAGGCTGCAGCTTGCAGTCAGGATGTCCTCCACATGCCGTAGGAGAGGAGAACGCCCGGAGACAGATTCATGACGTTGATTGATCTGAAGGGAGAGTGAAGCGTACCTCCAGCAGATGGTTGTCTGGAGCCGTCACCAGCCATCCTGAGTAATGGCTGCATCAGCGATCGGCTACCCACCCTGCCTCCCCAGCCCCAGTCTCTGAGGGGGAGGGCCGTACAGATGTTTTCCTTGTACACAGCCCCTACTGAGTTACTTTCTCAAATTGGGTAAAATTGTTAGTTACTTTGTCAAACAACGTGTGCGTTACTTTCAGAATTATATCTCTACCAGTCGTGTGTTTCCATGATCAGATCTCCACTTGTTTCCTCATTTAGTTCTCGGGTGAGCAGAGAAAGGCTGTTTGGATAAATGTCATGACAGCTGCTGTCCATAGAAATGTATAGAGGGCACACCTCTGATCATTGCTATTGATCGCTTCTGTGATAGCAAAGCCCATAAAGGGCTTTCCTGTCTAGTGGCAAGTGTGCCCTCTATACACCTCTATGGGTCCATGTACGCGTGGTCTATAACCAGAACTGGATAGGAAAGATAGGAAATCTGTACAGATGTTTGGCTTACAGTGTGTGTGTGTGTGTGTATATATATTTTTATATATATATATATATATATATATATATATATATATATATATACAGTGGGGAAAAAAAGTATTTAGTCAGCCACCAATTGTGCAAGTTCTCCCACTTAAAAAGATGAGAGAGGCCTGTAATTTTCATCATAGGTCAACTATGACAGACAAATTGAGAATTTTTTTTCCTGAAAATCACATTGTAGGATTTTTAATGAATTTATTTGCAAATTATGGTGGAAAATAAGTATTTGGTCACCTACAAACAAGCAAGATTTCTGGCTCTCACAGACCTGTAACTTCTTCTTTAAGAGGCTCCTGTGTCCTCCACTCGTTACCT